ATCGACTTAAACCGTTTTACCACTTCGCTACTGAATTAGTTGCTCCCTCAGAGGCGAACAATTTCTTCAGAAATAAAATATTGCTTTGAGAGCTTTAGGTTTTTTTCTCGAAAAACAAAAGTTTTTTTCCCAGGGTCCACCTCCCCTTGAACGTAATATCCATTAACTTTCTCATCGTGATGAGTCCGAGAATTCCCTCATAAATCTCTGCATTCCAAATCGAAAAATCACCGGTCGAATGTCAACGGTGCACGAGAAAAAATAAAATCACAGGACACTTCCGCTCTCGATGGCGAGTAAATTTTCGCTTCGTGTTTTCCATTCTCCTCTCTCTTTTTCTGCCCCTCATTCTCCAAGTAGAAAGTCGTTCTTTCCTATTTCTCTTTTCGACCCCCGGAGATCCGCCTTTTAACCCACTTTGCAATTCACCCCCTCCCCCCCCCTCCCCACGGCCACCATCTCAGTGTCGTCTTTTCATTCCCCTGAACCCCTTCAAGGTGAGGTTGCCACTTTCAGCGATGCCCTGAGCAAGGCTAAATTTAAATTCTCTCTACAGAGAGAGCACGATGCGAGTGGAATAGCGTCCACCATGGGAATACGCTTGGACAGGTCACCCAGAGTGATGGTGGGAATGGCTTCAGAGAATAAAACAGAAAATACGAAACTGGATGGAGGAAAAAAAAAACAAAAGTATGAAAGAGCAAATTTGTTCGGTACAGTATACGAAACGTTCAGGATGCTCTGTACTTTGGTCTGGCAATATAAACGCTTGTGCAGGCGTTTTCACTGCAAAGGGTGGAGGGAGCGGTGGAGGGGGGGGGGGGAGGGTGAGAGAGAGTAGAAGGAGTGAGCCTGTAAAAACGTCGGGGACATCACGATAAATGGTATTTTTCTGGCCATTCTCTTGGATTTTTTCTTTCTCAACATGCCTGGTAGATAGTCGACAATAAATTAACGATTGTTGTAAATGTATACAGAAGTTAATTCCAGTTCTGTCTCAGGTATACACAGGGAAATGACGCGGCAGAGCTCAGTTAAACTCTTTGTTTGAAATTTTTCTAGTCGTTTTAAGAATATTCACATTGAAAGTGAATGCGGTGAGCTGTTTTCGGCGAGAGAGTTGGAAATTTTTAACGAGTTGCTTCTACTGAAATTTGACAAAATTTTTTGTCATTCAAAATTCATAATTTCATGGAAAAATCCGTGGGAATTGCAAATTTTAGTTCAATCATGAATCATAATAAAAAATTCCTGGAATTCCAAGAATTTTAATGGAATTCAAGGAAATTCAAGGGGATTGGGCAGTGAATATTCATTTTCACTTAAAATTCCATTGATTTTTTCCCCTTAATTTCAATTCAAGATCTTTTTCCGGAAAATTCGGACAATTTTTTTAAAAGTGTATGTTTATATCGATAAAAACATCTTAATTGTATGGAATAAATGATTTATTCCACAATTTATTCCACCCAAATGAATATTATTCTATTAGAATCAAATAAACAATTAATTTGATCGGATAAAATAATCACTACATGTTAACAAACTCATTTTCTCAGGCGATTTCAACACTGATTTAATTTGTAATCAATGAAGTCTTCATTTGGATCAAGAAGTATTAAATTATATTTAAAAAAACTATTGTGACTCAATAAAAAAATGTAGTGACTAAATTCAATGTAAAAAGAGGCAAATAAAAATCAAGTTCAAGTTTGAACAGAAGCTTTATTACGAGCTATTTGAATAACCATCGCGCACTTTTGCGCGCTGATCTTTCACCTCATTTATTTATGAGGAATTTTCTTCTCTTCATGTGAATCGGGAAAAAGTCATCGTTATTGAGGAAACTGAATTCATAAAATTTCATGACCGTTATAAAAGTATTATGGTAAAGATGAATTATCAATGAAAAATGAATGAATCATCTTGAATCTTTGATCAACCCTTTTCACTTCTCCATGTAAACCGGGCAATACCTGCATTTCTTGAAAAGTAAATGTTAAGTGTTGAGTGCTAGCTATCATTCACACATGTGTAAAAAAATTTCTATAACGGAGAATATAATTTTTTTTTATCAAACGTGGTATGGCAAAATTTCACTTTGATCCACATACCCTTAACAAATTTTACTCCGCAGAAAACAATAATTTTTGCATCCACAGATGTTTTTAAATTACATTGTTAAAAATTTTCGTCTGAATTTTCCGTTCCAAATTCGGAAAATTTTTATTGTTTTCAAGCTCCACTGAAATTTCAGGAAATCTTGTGATTGAAAAATCAAATATTCCATTTATTTTCTGTTTAAATGCTCTGGAAATCAATAAAATATTTGATTTTTCAATTCAATTAACCGTCGATCGGTCGCGTCATGGCACGAGCGCCGTTCTGTCTCGATTTTTATTTTTTACGCTGAAACGTTGTTGAGAAAAAATCAGAAAAAATTGGAATTCCTAGTTTCCACTATGTCAAACATTTACAAAAATTTTGTTCTGTGCATCTTTGCACCGATCAAAAATTAAAATTCCTTAAAAATTCGACTCGGTCAAAATCTCTGTGTTTAACCTCTAAATGTCAAATTTTCGCACCGAATGGAAATCAATTTTTGAATAATGTTTTCGCTTTTCTCGCTTTATACTGATATTAGTTGTTAGTTGGAAGTTCAAAGTTACTCGTTTAATCGTAAATACATAATTTTTTTGAACCTTTCTTCTCAAAATGGTAAAATGCACGGAACGGCGCAGCGCTCATCACGCGACCTATACGTTTGGTGGAGAGGTGCTACCACTCAAGGGTTAAGGGAAAAATGATGGGAAAAATTGAAAATTCATATCATTTTGTTTCTGAACATTCATGTTCCACTGAAAATACAATCAAATTGTGAAATTTCCATCTCACTTCCACTGAAAACTCATGAATTTTCGTGAATTTCACTTAAAACTTGAAATTTCATAACCATTTATTCCCTAGATTCGAATTAATGTCACTTTCATGAGCTTCACTACAATATCTTTCATGAAATTAAAAAAAAAAAATTAACAGTGTATAATTTTACTGTATGATTACTTTTCATATAATAAAATTCACCGGGATTTTCCAGATAATTCTTATCCAACATCTCTCTCCATGTAAAATCACGATAGCATCACGGATTATATTACTCCCCAGCATGCGCCCTGAAACCATGAACGTCGAAGCATGAAAGTACACGATCTCATATTCCACCTGTGTTTTCAGGAAGAATCCATTTTCCGTCATCCAGCTTGAGGAAAGCATGTGTACTGAACTCTCGATGAAATTGCTCAAAATTATCAACAGCACCAGCGCACACACACTCCCTCTATCGATGAATAAGTACAAAAGCCAAGAAGCGGACACGTTCGTCCATGTGAATCGTGAGACGCATTTGGTACGACTATTGGACATTTGAATATTATGCAAATAGCCCTCGTGCAGTTGGTACTCATGAGGCATACACAACCCTTCCTCACATCGCACTCTCCCGTCTCACGTTTATAGACAGAAATGCCAGTAAACAATAAAGCCAGTCCCCGTAATTGTTTTCCGCTCATTTGAGAAATGCAAAATACAATCGTAAACAATCCCTCCTTTATATCACGTACGCCACTGTCATTTTAGATTGAAATGGATTTTGCATATTCACCGTGAGGATATCCATCAAATATAAAATACTATTTCATAGAAAATATAGGAAATTGAAATGCACGTCCAGAGGAGATATAAGGAATCGGGAGAAAACGTTGGAAAGCTATGGGAACCCGACGTTTTAGGATCAGGTGGTAGACACAATAAAGAAGCACGAAATGGCCTCGGTGCTTCCCGAGTAGATGGGTTAAGTCCAACAATACAAGGATATGTGCTTGTACGTTGAGGAAAAAGTAGAATCGATCGATCCGAAACGGAACAGAAGCAATAATGCAAAATAGGTTTCAACGGATGAATGCATCAAGCGGAAACTTGACTCGAGGAAGTAGTGCCTGTACCGCTCACCTAAGCAAAAACGATAATTTTCGTATCCCAAACCATGATTGCGAATAAAAATGACAATAGCTTGGTATTCTTTGGCTACTCAGCTAGATATTTAAAAGTCTTGGAGCCTCAATTCATGGTTTACACGAAAAAAATTACTTTGGATCTGTAGAAAAAGTACTTGTACCCAGTACCAAGGGGTTTCCGGAGAAAAGGCACATTTTTGTACTTCCTCGAAGTTACGAAACAACTTGATGCAAGATCAAGATTTTCGAGCCATGAATTTCTTGGAACCCGTAAAGACGTGCTTTTGACAAAAAGTTATGTCATTGCAGCCTTCCTCTTCGCATACTTTGGTCACTCTCTTTCCTCCATCTTCCACCAGCCTCTCTCGTTGTAGTCAAACGCAAATATTTACCCCGCATTTGTCCGCAACTCAAGTTATTTTGATAATTTCCACCCAATTACACGCCAACAATTGCTCTAGCAATGTTGAAATACGTACTCCATCATCTAAAAGGAGAAACAAGAGGGGGAGAAAGCCAGGGAGAAGATCAAGCCGCAACGACTCCCAGTCGTGTGCTTTTATCTCCCGGCATCGTTGTCCAAACTATATAACATCTCTGGGGCAATTATTATCAGATGAGAAACGACTCTAAGGAAGCAAGCCAGGCGGTTCGTGAAATCGGCGTTTCGCTCGCCGGTGGTCGGCACATCGCATCGCATCAAGTGAGAGATACGAAGGAGAAGTGGAAACGAAAGAGCATAAACTGGTGAGGTGAAATGAGAAGGTTGGAATAGTGGGTTTTGTTGTAGGAGGGAGATACAGATATGAAGAAGGGCTTATGTACAGCGTCTTGGCTTAGTACAGTGTGGATGATAGTGCGCTTGCGCACCATCCCCCTTATCGAGTTCGAGAGCAAAAGCGACGGCTGGTGGCAGTGGTGGCCGTTGCCACTGGTAGCTAGTGGTGGTGCTTGAACAGAGGGTAGTGGGTGAAGGGACGTAAAAGATATCGCCGGGTGGTTTGGAGAGGGGTGTAGCTGAATGGCATACAGTCGTGCCGAGTCAGTTGTACGAGCGACTCACTGAAGCTCGCACAGTATTAGTCGGATCATCAGCGCGTTTGTCACGTATCATAACATCTTGTGCCGGCTTTATAGAAAACGTTGGATTCAGTTAACTTTAAAGTTTAACAATTCGCGGATGGGACTCTATCGTCGGTTGTCATTGAGACACCTGAGCTCGTCTATGACAATGCCGGATACGTGGATTAAACAGGTTAATAAAATAAGTAGAATTTATAAACGCAGTAGCAGCAGTGACACGTGAAAGACAACGGTAGTGGTTATGGTGTTCAATGGTTTTGCAATGTGGATGTTGACTGTTGTGGTCGCCTTCGTGGCGAGTATATCAGCATGCACCGGTCCCTCTGAATGTAGCAACAACACAATAAGCAGAAATGCCTCCGAGTCATTAAATAATATCGAGTGTTTGGATAGGCTGACTACTGTGATCGGTGATCTTTCGGCTTGTGAGTGCCACATTTGGTCACGAAACGACACAAGTACAATACTTGAGGTCAAGTGCCTCGAGGGTATACCCGTGATAGACACACTCCCTGACAATGTTCAAAGTTTAGTTATTCAGAGGGCCGATGTCGACCAGGTGACAAGCATGTTCAGGGAATTGGAGAATTCCTCATTGATATGTCTGAGTGAGCTTACTGTTGTGAACGTATCATTATCGGAATCCAATATTACCCTGCCTCATGTATGTGGACTTGTTGTGTTGAATATATCTGGTAATGATTTAGTGGACTTGAGTGACGTGAGATTAGCCAATGACAGTGATTTAAAAATATTGGATTTATCAAGCAATCAACTGAGTGAATTACCAGCTAATGCATTTAGGACGCTTACCGGTTTAGTGCATTTACGTTTACGGAATAATATTATTGACACAGTGAATGAGGATGCATTTGCTGGGTTGGAGGCACTGGAAAATCTGGATGTGTCGGATAATCGTTTAACTCAACTGCCAGATGCAACATTGACACATCTGTCGTCACTGCAAACTTTGAACCTCAGTGGAAATCAGTTGAAAATCCTTGGAGCGAGATGGTTTGAGGCACTCGGTCGTTTGAGAGAGTTGGACGTTTCGAGAAATGGCTTGACCAAAGCAGCATCCGGAGCGCTGCAGCCATTACCGGGTCTCTCAGTACTTCGATTGGCTGAGAATCCTCTCATGGAACGTGACGTCTCATTACTGCTCGGCACCGGAAGACGTTTAGAGACTGTTGATGCATCGCGCACTGGCCTTCTACGAGTTCCAGCTGCTCTCACAAGGAGCGTTAGAGCACTGCGGCTGGCCGGTAACAAGCTCACGTGCATCCGGGATGGTGACTTTGATGGCTATCCGCTGTTGAAAATTCTCGATCTATCTGACAACTTGCTCAACGTTGTCGAGGAGGATTCGCTTGGTCGACTAGAGACACTTGAGGAGTTGGACTTATCAGGAAATAGATTGAAGTTTATGCCAAAGAGGTTACCCAGCAGTCTTATTTATCTCAACTTACGTGGTAATCTCATTGAAGATGTGGCATTCAACGATCTCGATGGAATTGATAGTATACACAGCCTCATGTTGGATGACAACATGATAGAGAATATCGAGGAGGGTGCGTTAAGCCAACTGCCTCACCTAACAGAGCTCGATATATCGAATAATCCAATTAAGCAACTACCAGCAAATACTCTCGCCGGCCCAACAAGCCTAACCAAGCTACGTATGTCGGGGTTGATACAACTAGAATGGGAACACGAGAGACGTGGCGACATGGCATTTCCTGTACCAACACCGGAACGTCTTATTTACCTGGATGTCTCCAACAGTCCGGCATTAGCTGCTCAACTACTCGCTGACAATGCAGCATTATCTGCCTGCAAGAGTTTGCTCGTTCTAAACTTAGCCAACACCAATATCACAAACATCAGATCTGATCTTGTCTACCTTCTACCACAACTGCAAACACTCGGTTTGTCTGATAACCAGTGGAACTGCAGCAGTGATCTTTTTTGGTTGGGCGAATGGATTAGACAGCACGAAGAGATACAACCACCTGCTAAGTGCAATTCCACTGACGAATTTACCGACACTCAACTCGAGGATTTACCACCACCACCAACAACAACAACATCAACTACTGTCAGTACAACAATTGCGGATTCATCGGATAACTTGAGAATCGAGGTCTTACCAGGTATCGGTGTGCCAAATGTGTCTTCCAAAAGTGGTAGTGTGAGAGTTACTACTGAGTCAATGATGAAGGGAATTGTGAATGTCACGACAGTTGAAATCACAACGGTTGAAACACGTCAGCACAAGGTTCATTCTGCTGAATTAGGCGCAGATAATGAATCCCCGGATGAAACGTCTACAACTTCACAGACTATATTTGTTGGAGTTGGTGATTCCCGTCAGCTTAAATCAGGGAAAAAGCCCCAGTCTATCATGGATAATGACAAAGCCTACGACAGGGGTGAAATTACGCGAAAATTCGACAAAACTGGAAGCCGGAAAATACCGGACTCCGGAAAGTTCATCAGTGCTTCATTTGTGGAGCGTCACAAGCTGCGAGAAATTCTCGATAATCGGGTGGATTCTCTGATGAGGCCAACGGCAAGTGTTCCCAACAAAAGTGGAATTTACACGACAACTGGAAGTGATAGTTTCAATAATGTTCCAAAGCCACGGAGTTCCAACAAAATTGCATGGGATTCCAGGACGCGCGGCAATATTCCTACAACGAACAATGTCGTTCAACTTGTGGAAGATAAAACGAAGAATACACCGCAAAATTACATTCTCGCGAATGCCATTGCCAATACAATTGCCCAAGAATTGAATGGGCGTGCAACAGAAACAGATGCAAGAATATCAGAGCCTATGGGTGCTCATCCTGGTATGTTAGTACTTGCTGGCGCTATTCTTGGTGCAGCTGCTGCTCTCACTGTTGTTCTGTCACGTCGGGCGACAATACGACGTCGAGACAGGTACCACAGACATGAGAATATCGAAGTGCACACATTGACACCCACCACTGAACTATGGTGACCTTCTTTGACGGGTGCTGAAGCCTGGAATTTCGAATCGATGTGAAGGTAGGAAGAAAAATGGTCAACAAGTTCTTGCTGAAGACAGCCATTTGGGGTGAGAGAGTATGGAGGAGGAAGCCTGAAACCCAAGTTTGCGCATTAATTCTCGATGTGATGTTGCAAGAACTTTATGAGGCTGTATAAATATGGAATTGCGTTCTGTTATTTTTGGAGGGAGCGAACAAGCAACCACCGTCGTCGAGTGATGGAGCAACTTGGAATCAACAGTGGACAAATTACCATAAATCGCAACAACATCAACTTCGCGTCGGGATAATTGAGCGACATTGTGACAATAACATAATTTTCGGTTGAGTGACGAAATCTTTTGCTAGACGGAAGAGTAGCAGAGTTGGAATAGCCATTACTGGATGGTGGAAAGGGAGTAGAGGGGGGAGAGAATGAAGGGAAATGGGAAGGATGGAGAGGGTGGAAATGAGAAAGTGTGAAATAGTAAACTCTTGAGACATGGGAGACACCTTCTGTCTCTCTACCGGGGACATGTGCCAGGAAAAGGGACAAATGAAACAAAAGAAAGCTACAGAACAGTGTGAAGCGAAAAAACTCATTACCTGAGAATTAATTTTTTTTTGTTGTCAGAAATAACCTTTTGACTGAAAGAGCTAGGCCAATTTTGTTTTTTTTTTTCATTTTCAGTGCAGTACACCAATTTGCACAGTGAGAAGACTCATGCTAGCATGAGTTCATATGGCTGATGAAAAAAAAAATATAAAAAAAGTGAAAAATGATAATATTGATAATAAGCAATGAAGAGGGTAGATATTATCTTTCGTAAAAATAACCCGTGTCAAAATACCGACTAAGATAATAAAGAATAAAAAACATTGTACAAAGATGCATATACTGTAGTTTTTATCATTTCTTTCATCTTTATCTGTCCGAATAATTCATGCTCCCAGAAGTGAAGTTAGGGGGGGGGGGGTAAAAAAGAGTTGGTATATATTCAACTGCATCCAGACCGTTCATACGGGCAGACCTCATTTTATATTTTCCAGAGCTATCACGTTAATATTCAACTCACGAGCAAAGTCAGAAATATTAATAATTTTGCCTGACACTGCTTCATTGCCATTCCCAATTTAATCATCCCTCTCCTCTTTTCTTTCCACCTGACGCCCATACATCTCCAGTTTTTATTGCACTCTGCTATAATAATTCACCACACAGAAACATCAAACAAAGTTGAATGTTTAATGTAGTAAAGTAGATTGACCCGGAGATGAAAGAAAAATATTTCCAACCATCTCTGCAGTATTCAACCTAAATAAATGTTTGAGAGGTCCAGTATCACGGGATTGGCGGAGAGGAGAGATGAACGGATAATCCCAAAGTGCCAAGGGAAGGAGCGAACGAGGTAAGAAAAATATGGCTGAACCTATTCGGCAATGAGGAAAAACGAAAAAACCAGGAGGGCAATCTCTTCACCTCAGACTATCCATTTTATTTACCAAAAGTGTCTCTCTTTATCCCTCGAGTGGCCAGTCTTTTCTAGTATATCTCATGACATATGATCTTTTATTTGCCCTATCATCTCCACTCGGTGAGGAAAAAATTGAAAAAAGTTCATCACTTGTGTCCACGCCAACCATTAATCATCCTTCACTTTAATTCCGCAATGTTACTTCACGAGAAGAATATTATGGTGTCTTTTATTATGAGACTTCTGACAGCAAAGGTTGCAGTTGACCATTAGGAGTTTAATGTCATGAAGGAGTGGGTTAACTATTAACAAATGGTAAAGTTGAATACGATCAGATGAATATTTAGTAGCAGTTAACGAATGATTTAGTTGCCGGGAAAAGTTACGACGGACACCTTTAGTTTCAGAAGAGAAATTCCGGATGTTCAAAACCAAAAAACCTTATTTCACGTTGTTTATTGAAAAACCTGGCATTTTTAAACTGATAACATTCGAAAGGGAGGACATTCTGAAATAATTGAATATCAATTCAACAATTAGTTTAAGAACCCGAGTATTTTAATTCAAAAACACCAGATTCTTCTTTTAAGAGCCCGAAAGTTCTGAATTTCAGAACCAAATTTGCGTAAATTACACTAGATTTAAGGAAAAATCTTTGAGAACTAGATTATTTTTTTCAGATTTAAAGAGAAAATTTTCTTTAAAAACAATGAAAATTCGTTTATTTCTTGATTTTATTGCTCACTAGATTTCGAGAAAACAAAGTTCTGAAATTCAGAAATTTTTATTGGAGACTAGACACTTTTCGTCTGTGATTTCTCGACAGGAATAAATAGTTCAAAATTGAATAATTAATCTAATTTATTACTATTATTATTTAATTCAATTTTTTGTTCAAAATTGTCCGTTTTTGTCCGAAAATTTTTCCAATTCGTTCCAATTGCTCTTACCTTCACCGCATCCATCGAATCTGTCTTTTCGCTCACTGTCAGAAATCTCCTCCCCCCAACAGCAACAACTCATGAAAAAAACCTGTCAATTCAGCCACACGTTCTATTCATCCTGTATATCGACTTGTTATAAACCCAAAGTGGTAGATACTAACCAATAGAATAAAAAAAATATTTTCCTGCTACTGAGCTTCATTTACGTCTCCACGTGGAATATTTCGTGGATAACAATTTCTATCCGATTTAGACTTTTTTATGTTCGTTGTTCTTCAAGAAATAAAATTCATATTCAGAGTTTTGCAGATAAACGTCTCAATTCTGAAGACAGAACGCTTTTAGAAACTCAATCGATTTTTATCATCTCATGTATAATAAAGCCGTTGTCTTTTTTATATCTAAAAAACAATAGACTGGATTCAATAGGATTTTGATTGTTACATAGTTAGGGAAAAATAATATTTCACTAACGGGTTGTAATCACCTTTAGGAGCGCAAGATTAAATTGAATTTAGAGAGTACAATCGAGAAGTTTCAAATTTCACGAAAAATTCAATGCAAATTCCAAAGTTTTTGAGCAGCGAGTCTTTCCGATCACAGTGCACTGAGAAAAAAAATACTTTTGCCAAGGAATAATTTTTTTGGATGAAGAATTTTTTTTTTGAGTCTGTTTCCCTGGCCAGGCATTCCCAGGTGGTCCAATTACAATTATGTTGAATTACACAGTTAAAAATTTTTGTCTGAATTTTCTATGCCGAATTCCGGAAATTTTTATCGTCTTCAAGTTCCACTGAAATTTCAGGAAATCTTGTTATTAAAAAATCAAATGTTTCATTGTTTCTCTGTTCAAATTATCTGGAAATCAATAAAATACTTGATTTTTCAGTTCAATTATTCTGTGAAAATTCTGAAAAAGCGGGAAAATTCCCGGAAAAATGGAAAATTCATGTAATTTTGTTTTTGAATATTCATGTTTCACTGAAAATTCAATCAAGTTGAGAAATTCCCATCTCACTCCCACTGAAAACATAAATTTCCGTGAATTCTATTTAAAACTTGAAATTTCATAACAATTTTTTCCCTAAATCCACTTCAATGTCACTCTCACCAGATACACTATAATATCTCCCACGAAATTTCAAAAAATTTCCAACAGTGTATTCAAGTTAAAAAAGTACTGTAAATCGAGGTTGCCCACGATTACTTCCTCGTTTGTTAATTTTTCTCCAATTTTTTCCCCATACACCTGTCAATTCCGCCCCCACCCAGCCCCTCCCTTATATCGACTTGTTATAAATTCAAAGTGGTAGATACCAACCACTAAAATAAAAAACCTCGATCTGTCGCGGAGTAAGCCGTTTGGGTGATTTGGCAATCATTCTGTGAAAATTCAGAAAAATCAGGGAAATTCAGGGAAAAATTGAAAATTCATGTCATTTTGTTTCTGACTATTCATGTTCCATTGAAAATTTAATCAACTTGTGAAATTTCCATCTCACCCTACCGGAAACTCATGAATTTCCATGAATTCTACTTAACACTTGAAATTTCATAACCATTTTTTCCCTAAATCCACTTCAATGTCACTCTCACCAGATACACTATAATATCTCCCACGAAATTTCAAAAAATTTCCAACAGTGTATTCAAGTTAAAAAAGTACTGTAAATCGAGGTTGCCCACGATTACTTCCTCGTTTGTTAATTTTTCTCCAATTTTTTCCCCATACACCTGTCAATTCCGCCCCCACCCAGCCCCTCCCTTATATCGACTTGTTATAAATCTAAAGTGGTAGATACCACCCACTAAAATAAAAAAAACCTCCNAAGTTTTTGAGCAGCGAGTCTTTCCGATCACAGTGCACTGAGAAAAAAAATACTTTTGCCAAGGAATAATTTTTTTGGATGAAGAATTTTTTTTTTGAGTCTGTTTCCCTGGCCAGGCATTCCCAGGTGGTCCAATTACAATTATGTTGAATTACACAGTTAAAAATTTTTGTCTGAATTTTCTATGCCGAATTCCGGAAATTTTTATCGTCTTCAAGTTCCACTGAAATTTCAGGAAATCTTGTTATTAAAAAATCAAATGTTTCATTGTTTCTCTGTTCAAATTATCTGGAAATCAATAAAATACTTGATTTTTCAGTTCAATTATTCTGTGAAAATTCTGAAAAAGCGGGAAAATTCCCGGAAAAATGGAAAATTCATGTAATTTTGTTTTTGAATATTCATGTTTCACTGAAAATTCAATCAAGTTGAGAAATTCCCATCTCACTCCCACTGAAAACATAAATTTCCGTGAATTCTATTTAAAACTTGAAATTTCATAACAATTTTTTCCCTAAATCCACTTCAATGTCACTCTCACCAGATACACTATAATATCTCCCACGAAATTTCAAAAAATTTCCAACAGTGTATTCAAGTTAAAAAAGTACTGTAAATCGAGGTTGCCCACGATTACTTCCTCGTTTGTTAATTTTTCTCCAATTTTTTCCCCACACACCTGCCAATTCCGCCCCCACCCACNTTCAAGTTCCACTGAAATTTCAGGAAATCTTGTTATTAAAAAATCAAATGTTTCATTGTTTCTCTGTTCAAATTATCTGGAAATCAATAAAATACTTGATTTTTCAGTTCAATTATTCTGTGAAAATTCTGAAAAAGCGGGAAAATTCCCGGAAAAATGGAAAATTCATGTAATTTTGTTTTTGAATATTCATGTTTCACTGAAAATTCAATCAAGTTGAGAAATTCCCATCTCACTCCCACTGAAAACATAAATTTCCGTGAATTCTATTTAAAACTTGAAATTTCATAACAATTTTTTCCCTAAATCCACTTCAATGTCACTCTCACCAGATACACTATAATATCTCCCACGAAATTTCAAAAAATTTCCAACAGTGTATTCAAGTTAAAAAAGTACTGTAAATCGAGGTTGCCCACGATTACTTCCTCGTTTGTTAATTTTTCTCCAATTTTTTCCCCATACACCTGTCAATTCCGCCCCCACCCAGCCCCTCCCTTATATCGACTTGTTATAAATTCAAAGTGGTAGATACCAACCACTAAAATAAAAAACCTCGATCTGTCGCGGAGTAAGCCGTTCGGGTGATTTGGGATAGACGTCAGATGTTACTGGAAGACATATTTTGTCGTCGTACCACGTACGAATTCGAGGACAGCCGGAGAGAGTGCTCGATAGATTCAGCGGTGCTTGGAGTGGGCAACCAAAAGGGAGCTGAGGGATGCCACGGTTTCAGGTGGAGACCAACAGAGAAAGGAGGGGGGATGAATATCCAAGGGTACCAGCAGAGACAGAGAGTTGTGAGAAGGAGACAGCGGGTAAGAGCGACACTTGGTGGTTGGCAGTGGTGTGGTGGGTGGTAATTCGGCAGATAGAGCCACGATGGAATCGATCGTGCGGTG